CACCACCACGCTCGGCCGCCTTTGTCTCCCCAGTGACAATGTTTACACATCGCACCAGGTACTCATTGGAAATTGAGTGAACCTCAGAGAGGCCCAGGATCGATTCATAGAATCGTGACTGGTGTTGTCAGTGAGCGGGAATCGAATATTGCACTCCATACACACACACACACATATATATAAAACACATAGTACTTTACTACACAACAGAACACAGTACACACACACATTTTAAACGTATGAATGTCTACGTGGAAACACGTGCGCCACAAGTACACTCACACATCACCCGTATTTAGCGTGCATGCGTTACGATGAATCAAGCAATGCGATGTCATGTATGGAAATTGTGAGCTTCTTAAACATCAGGTATGACTGCGCGTTTTTTTTTAAAGTAATATTTTACACGTGTGTATTTATATATATATATAGTATTGGGTCACGTACTTCGGGCTCGCGGCGTGACGGCCTTCATCACAGGTGCTGTCACCCTGCGAACAGCAACTTTACCCCCCAATAATGTCCGTTGGGGGCTATCCGGGGGATTTTTGTCTTTGTGGTTCAGAACAACAACAACAACATCGTCGTCGTTGATGTTACGGTCACTAAGCGGCCGCGTGTTTACCGATGTAGTTTTCTCTCATCTTGTATCCTTTGCTTATCGCCGCTGCTCGCGACGTTAATAAAGGACTCGCGTCTGCCGTGCTTTTTAAGCGCAGCTACAATTAATTACTGGTGGGGAGAGAGAAAAAAGGGGAAGACAGAAATCCAACTCCACCGCATTCACCGCATTATAATGGATATACTCTTCGATTTAAAAGTATATCCATTATAATATACTTTGAGGACGGCTGCTTGCGTTGTGGCCGAAACGTCGTGAGAATTGTATTTTATAATGTTTTGTTTTTATTATTTTATTATTTCCCTTCTACGTGACTTTACCGAAAGAACCAAGAAGAAAAATGGATATACTGTTTAACGTTGACTGACGTTTCGGGCGATGCTCCTTGGTGATGCTGCTGCTGCTGCATTGGCAGCGGTGTGCAAAAAGCATGATTAACCCCAACAACTTAAGACGTCCGCCAATAATAACAGCAGCACTGTGTGTGGCTTTTAAAATGTTATTGTATATAAAACGGCAACGTTACTGGCAACGGCCCTTCTTCACGGCACGTAAATTGGTCGCAGCACACGCATGCTATGAGGCAGAATCGTTGCCCGAACCGTCGCTTGTTAGATATTCTATTTCAAACGGCACGGAGGCGTTGGCGAGTAATGTGTTGAGTTTCTTCTTCGCACAGGAGCGCGAGCGAGCGAGAGAGAGTGATATAAATTTTGGACATACAGAGGTGACCGACTTCAACTAAAAAAAGGATTTCGCAGTTTGGCACCGTGGTTTTCTGATTTCGAAGGTTGGCAAATTGGCGCCGCCGTCCCTTCTCTGAGCAGACGACGGTCGGCCAAGACCCGTGGACGCCACTGCGCGGATGACGGATCAATTCCCGTGAGAGATGCAATCGGTGCGCGGTTTTTCTCGGCGTGGCGCACACGAAGTGGTTGCACTCACATAATGCCCGTCCGTCAAGCTGATGGGATGTGTACAATAAAAAGTGTATGTGGGTGTGTGTGTTGTTTTTTTTACACGTGGAGGGAACGCTGTGTGAAGGAGCAGACGTCGTGTTGTTTGCTTGTGTATATATATGTAGCGTTACTCATATTCTCCGCTGTGACGCTAATGGTTGTGTTTTGTGTTAATTGGCCGAGGGGTCGGGTTGGTTATCTGAGTTACCGAGCCAGATTTACACGAATGAGACGCTCGTCGACCTGAGTGGATAACACCACGCGTTACAGGAGTGCAAGAAATCACGCGTGTTAAATATTTAATACCCAGTGATGCGGTAGAGATTCTTATTATGATTATTGGGATGTTCTGGGCCGATTGCGTTTAGTGAAGACTATTGGATAGTTTTTCTGCGGTCTGTAAATCACATTATCGGTCCGAGGTCTTCTGTACCGTGTATTATGCGACTCCGAGCGTTGTTAATACATGTTTACATATATTTCCTTTTCGTTCAAAATTCTATACAGACACGGTGGGTAAGTATAACACGTGTACAACATGAACAGATGATTGTTTTTTTATCAGTCTAAAATACTTTTGTGAGTAAAATTATTTAGTCTGCAAAGTGCGTGTGTGTGTGTGTGTTGGGGAGCGGCAGTGTAGCGGTTAGCGCGCTGCGCTACGAACCTGGTGACCAGATTTCCATTCCCGCTCATGGCCAACACCAGTGACGATCATCTGAACCGGTCCTGGGCCTCCCATAGGTCGACTCAGTCTCAAGTGAGTACCTGGCGCTGTGTATAGTAAACATCGCCACTGGGGAGACAAAGGCGGCCGGGCGTGGTGTGGCCCACTCGTGTGCCGTGTCGGCCTTCATAGGTAGCTCGCTAACAGCACTTGCCCCAACATTCTGTTAATACTATACAGGGGATATTTGTCTTTGTTGTACATAGAGGCCTGCATACTTCTCCTGTACATATATCAGTACTGTGCAGTTGAAACTAAAAGGTTTATTTTATTTGATTGAGAATCGGCAATTTGGGCGCTTTAAGGCTAACCAAATATACACACGGTGTAGTATAAATAACAAGATTATCCTAAGACATTACGAATATTAACTTTGCTCGACAGTAAGGAGGCCAGGCAGCCGAATTATCGACCACACAATTTCTACCTTTCACGATTGGCCGACAACGGAAAACAACCTTCTTTTGAGTTTTACCGTAAACAATTAATGATCGCAAAAGCAGCAAAACAATGGCAATGGTCCTGAATAAAATATCGCGCCGTGCAAATGGATGCCGAATTATGTAGGCGTTGTCGTGTTGCTGTTTAATTCGCCGGCGGCGCGTGTGAACGACTGTGATGTGAGGCCTCTGACATTCGTGACATCTTCATCCTTGGCCTGCGTGACGGACGCCGACGCTGCGTCTGTCGAATCGAGGCGCGCGAGTTAGAGACCACCTCTAACTCCTTCCTACCTCTCACTCCATCCCCTCTCATCTCATCCCCTCGCCTCTCGTATCTAACTCCATCCCCCAGCTCTCATCATCTCATCCCCTTTCTGCTCACGTATCCTCTCATTACATCCCATATAGCTCCTCTCATCTCGTCCCCTCTCTGCTCACGTATCATCTCCCCTCTCTTCCTTTCTATCTGCACATCTCACAGCGTTTTCCTCTCTTCCCACCTTGTCAACCTCCTCCTTCCCCCGTCTCCTCTCACACCCCCCCCCCCCCCATCTCTTTCGCTCCTCTCCCGCCTCAACCACAAACAACAACAACACAAACATGCAGAGAAGGCCACGGCAGGCGCCTCGCCGTGCGTCCGCGGAGCGGCTGGTGGTGAGGCGCTCTCGCTGACGGAGACAATGGGAACGCTGGGAATTATCTCTAAATAATTATCTCTAAATAATTTAATTGACGCATCGGGGGGGGGGTACGGCGGAGGAGGTTGAAGGTGTCGGCGGGCGTGGCAATGATTGAATGGAGTGAAAGGTGTGGAATTAAATTAAAACGAGACGAGTGTGGGTTGTCGGGTGTACGTGTGTATGAAATGAGTACCTGGTGCGGTGTGTAAACATCGCCACTGGGGAGACAAAGGCGGTCGGGTGTGGTGCTGGCCACTCACCCCCTCGTGTACCGTTCCGGCCTTCATAGGTGCTCGCTAACAGCACTTGCCTCTACAGTCTGCTAAGGCTATACGGGGGATCTTTATCTTTATACGTGTGTGTGCATTGCACTGGTGTGTCATTTTATTTAGTCGCAGCCGCGTGCTGATTGGGAGCTATGCGCGCTCACTTCTCGCTCATACGCGTACATAGTGGTGCTGTTGTTGCTGCTGTTGTTGCTGCTGTTGTTGCTGGTGTTGTTGATGATGTGATGCTGCCGTCGTGCGCGTCAAATATTATTTATAGCTAAGATCAAAGACTGCGATTGAGATCTGCAAAACGAGATCATATCACCATCTCTTTAAAAGCAATGAAGATACACGCACATCCAACACACACACACACATAAACAACACGTACACACACACCCAACTCACATACGAAAGATACACGCATACACACAACACATTAAACAGGTCACACACCCAAAACACATACGCGACACACACAACCGATAAACACAAACACCCAAAGCAAACGCCCACCCAACACACAAAGACACGTAAACACATACGCAACAAACACGAAACACAGATCGCCCGCGTAAGTCCTTCGGCAGAATTTTGGGTGCAAATGTCGTTCGAGCGAGAAGACCGAAACGTTGACCGAGATGTCTGGAGGGCTCACGACCACGCCAGGCCACCTTTGTCTCTCCCGGCGCGCCGACGTTCACACAGCGCGCGTGGAAGTCATTCACGACCGAGTCGGCCCTAAGGGGGCATAAGACGCAGAACCGGTTTTAGACATTCGCCACTGATGTTGGCCGCGTGTCGGGCCCCACCGCGGCTGCGTTTAGTGACGGAGCGGGCTCACGACCCATCGCCTACGACGCGATCCGTCGAGTCGCGCTCTCACCACTGCGCGCCCTTACGACGCACTCTTTCGCCCGCCCGCCCGCCCGACCGCCCGGCCGGTCGTCTCACGGCTGTCACACAGCAACAGTCGAGTTGGGTGGGGGGCGTCGCCGTGCCTGGTGTCTCTCCCTCTCTCTCTCTCGCCTTCAAAATAAACAATGCGAAAATTCTCCCCAAATCTGGCTCGGCTAGCGAAAGAGAGAGGAGCGAGAGAGAGCGCGCGCGCGACACCTTCCGATGACGCGACGCGGGGTGGTGGTGGTGGAGCAGGAGGAGGAGGAGGAGCAGGAGGGGAACGCGGGGTGCGCGCGGCGCGTCTCGCGGTGTCGGCGCGATTGGCCGGCGCGCCACGTGACGCGGCGCGAGCTGCCTGGGAGGGGGGGTGGGGGTTTAGTTGTCCCCTCTCCATGTGCGAATGTTTTCTTCGTGAGCCATGTCGGCGTGGAAGGCGCCTCCTCCTCCTCATCCTCCTTCTCCTCATCATCCTCATCATCTGGCCGGAGCGCTGTGCGGCGTGGCGCACGCCATGGCGTCGTGCACCAACGGCGCTGGGATCGCCAACTCGTTCCTCGTCGACTCGCTCATCGGCGCGGGTCGAGCCGGGGAGGTTTACTACGGTGGTGGTGCTGGTGGTGGTGGCGCTGGTGGTGGTGGTGGTGGTGTAGCAACAGCTGCAGCAGCAGGAGGATTAGGAAGCGGACTCTATATGGCCCACGGCGCCGGTCACCTGCAGGTTGGTTACGGCTCCGCACAAAACTGTGGCCTCGTGCAAGCGCTGTCGAAGCGTCACGATGTTCCACAGCACGCGCACGGTCTACATCATCATCATCACCATCATCCTCATCATCATCACCAGCAGCAGCAACATCACCACCACCACGGGCACCACCAGCACCACCAGCAGCAGCAACAGCATCACCCGCAGCATCAGCAGCAGCATCAGCAGACGGGCTCCCTGCACCCTCACGCGTACGCGAGCGCAGCCAGCGACGGCTGCTCCTGGGTGGAGTCGAGCCGCGCGTGCGGTCAGCTCCAGGAGGCCTCGCAAGGGCCCTGCTCCTTCTCGCACGCCATCAAGGAGGAGGCCGCCTACTGCGGCGGCGGCAGCGGCAAGGGCGAGACGGACTTCGCGCGCTCGCTCGCCTCGGAGCCCGCGGCCGCTGCGGCGGAAAGCCCCGGAGTGCCCGTGCCGGGATACTTCTACCTGGGCCAAGCGTACAGACCGTCGAGGGACTCCTTCGGGCTTCTGCAGCACGAGGAAGAGGACACGGCGGCTGCGGCTGCTCCCTCGTCCGCGGTGGCGGCGGCGCCTTCGCCCGCGGGGAAGTCGGCGGCCGAGGAGGAGGATGATGGGGAGGAGCGGGAAGAGGCGGCGGGCGACGGAGCGAGTCGGGAGGCGCAGCAGCCGGAGAACGCGGCGGCGGCGGTCGAGGTGGCGGCGTCACCCGGACGACTCATCATGGTCGAAGCGGACGGGAGATCGGGGAGCAAGGAGGCGGGAGGTGAGGAGCGCGATGAGATGATGGGTGGGCCGGGTGGTGTCTCGGACGTTTGGGGGGGCGGGGGGGTGTAGTGGAGGGGGACCCGCACCTTCTCCGTATAAAATGCGACAGCCGCACGCAATTAATGCGGAGGGAATCGCGTCGCGCCCTCGTTGATGTTTTATGACGGCTCCGCTCGACGGGGGCGTCATGTGACGCGCGGCTTCTGCGTGTGTCACTGTGTGTGTGTTGTCTTTGTGTGTGTCCGTGTATGAGTTGTTGTCTTTGTGTGTGTCCGTGTGCGTGCTGTTGTCTGTCTGTGTCTGTGCGTACGTGGAGCGGTGGTGTAGCGGTTTGCGCGCTGCGCTACGAAAACGGCGACCAGAGTTCGATTTCCGCTCGCGGCCACCAACACCAGTGACGATTATCTGAACCGGTCCTATGCCTCCCCCCAGGTCGACTCAGCCTCAAATGAGTACCTGGTGCGGTGTGAAAACACCGCCACTACGGAGACAAAGGCGGTCGGGCGTGGTGATGGTCACCCACCCTGTCGCGTGCCATGCCCGCCTTCATAGACGCTCGCTAACAGAACTTGCCCCAACAGTCTGTTAAGGCTTTAGGGAGATCTTTGTCTTTGTTTGCAACCATTACTACACCCCGCTACTTATTTCAACCACTACCATCTTATGTGCATTTTAAAATATATAATTGTTGTAAATCCCCTTGGATTAAGGCGCTATATACATGTATAAGATGAGATGTCGAACAGCACTTGCAGACAAAGCTTGCCCCAACAGTCTGTTGAGGCTATACCGGGGGTCTTTGTCTTTGTGTGTCTTTATAGGTAGTGGAAAGCGGCAGTGTCGTGCGTAAGCGCGCTGCGCAAGGGACCTTGCCACCCGAGTTTGATTCCCGCTCACGGCCAACACTGTTGACGATTTTCTGAACCGTTCCTGTGAGCCTCCCCTAGGTTGACTCGGCCTTAAATGAGTATCTGGTGCAGGTGTGTAAACATCACCACAAGGGAGACAAATGCGGCCGGGCGTGGTGATGGTCACTCATCCCATCGTGTGCCGTGCCGGCCTTCTTCATAGGCGCTCGCTAACAGCACTTGCCCCAGCAGTCTGTAAAAGGCTAAACGGGGGGGTTTTGTTTGTTATCTTTGGCTTGGTTAGCATCTTGTCTATCTGTGTATCTGCACGTTCGTGTGTGGTTTGTGTGTTTATGTTCGTCTGCGTAAGAGAGTATTATTTTTTTATTGTGTGTGTTGGCTGCCTATGTGTTGGCGGCCGCGTGTCGTGTCGGCCTGTGTGTGTGGTTTGTGTTGGCGTGCTCACCCGCTTTAATTATATTGTCAAATGTGCGCGCCCGCATGAAACATGACAATACATTTGCAGAACTCAGTCTATATTATTATTATCATATAACATCAAATTCCAACGCAGAGATTGCTGCGTCAGCGCTTAAAGCTGACGTGTATTGCATTGCACGTGTGCATTTTTGGAGACTGTGAAACCTAAGATCGTATTCTTAGGTTTGTTCTAAGATCGTTACTGTGAACCTATTCCAGTGCGAGTGTGGCCATGCAACACCCACTATGGACCGCATAGTAAGCCCACAGAAACACATAGAGACCCTTAGAGACACACGGACATACATAGAGACACACGGAGATATATAAAGACCCATATAGACAGATAAGAACACATAGACATACATTTAAAGACACTCCGCAGCAGTACAATTGTGGCCATTCAACCCACACCATGGATCGTCGAGCAAACACCACTGTAGCCTGCGCTCCTTCGACGGAGGAGGAGTAGCAAAACGACACGAACTCTTGCAGCCATCTCGCCGTGACCCAGAAGTCAGCAGCAAACCTCCACATCAGCATCGCGACAGCCATCATCGTACGCAGGGATAAAACGACAATTGCGACGTCGCATGATCTTGGCGGTCGAGGGCGACTTAGCGAGTGAGAAATTCACCCATCAGTGGATTGAGCATGGCTGCTGCTGCTGTTGACGATGGATGATCGATAGTTTTAAACTGGAAAGGACAATTATGCGTTCTCTGCACGGACGGGATGTGTCGGGGCGTCGGGTGTGGAGGAGGAGCGGGCCGGGAGGTTTTTGGCTGCACTCCACGTATTGTGTGAAACGTGAATTACCGAGTGAATATCGTGGACTCGACCGAGTGATTAATAGCAGCAGAGGAATAATTTCAGTGGTGCAATTTGATTTGTTTAAAAAAAAACCCTCACTGAATCGCAATACTTTTTCTGGAGGGTCAACTCGCCACCGTGGCAGACGCTATTGGAGTGTCTGCCACGGTGGAGAGATGTTAAATGCCTCGCCTGGTATACAGGAGGTCGTGGGTTCGATCCCGACCCTGACGCCTGCAGTATATTTGGAATTTGCGTGCTCTCCCCGTGGTCGCGTGGTTTTCCCTCCACATCTCGAAACGTGCGTTTCGACTATTTGGCTGCTAGAAATTTGCACGAGATCAGCCCCTCCGTTGAGTTATCATTCGTGGCCAGCTCGCGTCTGATAAAGAGCTACATAGCTCAGTGGGCCTTACCTGGTCAAATACATTTGTTTATTTTAGTAGTAGGAGTTTGACAAATGCCACGTTTAAGGGGTGTTTAGAGGGCCCACGCATTCCTCCGTGTATATATCCACTTTGGAGCGGTGGCAGCGTGGTTAGGGCACTGCACTATGAACCCCACTAACTCAATGAGTGGTCCCGGCCACGGCTAACGTCAGTGGCGAGTAAGATGTGAACCGTGACGCCAGAATGATGCCCACAACTCCCCTTCTTGAAGTGGCTCCGACCAGCGTGGTTGAGGTATGGTCAAGCAACCTCCACGGCCGACACGATGTGGGGAGGCCTTCATACAGCAGTGGATTGGCAAGTCATGGAAATATTACGTAGGTACTGCATACGTGTTGTGTATGTATAGCCAACGTTTTGGCCCACGGGCCTTCTTCAGGATATGTTGCGGTTTATAGCTGGAAGGCACATATATGTGTGTGTTGTATGTATATGCAAGCGTGTATGTATTACATTATTCCTGCTCGAGTGATGTTCGCACGACGCATGAAAACACACATTGAGTGAAAACTATGTAATTTCGACGTTTCGGACGACTGATGTTCTTCAGAAAATATGATTACGTTTGAGACAATCATCGATCCTCTTACGTGATCTCAGAAATATACCGTCTTAGATATACAGTGTGCTTCAAAAAAATGTGAACACTTCGGAGAATTTGCAACAACACCACAAGAAATGTGCCTCCGGGCTCTGGAGACCACCTGGAGAAGATTCCAGGCATGAGTTAACGATGATGGCGAACACGTGGAGACTCTTTAACTTTTTGAAGCTTTTAACATTACATTTGTTATCATGTTACAGTGTATTATCCGTTCTTTTTCCATTAAAAACGATAGTCCCATATAATTGGTAAAAAAAAATTTGAAAATGTACTATGGTTATTAAAGTCTATATTTTTGCATTATCAGTGGCCGAATGAATAACACAGCAAATAAAACGAGCCACCACAGTGATGTAATGGTTAAAACACTGGACATGCAATACGGAGGTGGCCGATGCAATGCTACCTCCCGGCGCGGCAGCTGACAAAATGTGGGAGAGTTTCTGAAACCCCCCCCCCCCATCGCTTCCTGTCCACCCAGCAGGTCGCGAAGTGTGGTGGGGGGTGACGTGTGGGTATTGCCCACCTCTTCCAAGGCGCCTGGTCAGAATGGAAGAGTAGGCCAAATACCGCCTCTGAGCTCCCTTGAGTGGAGGCCCCTTGCACCAGCAGTGGCGTGAGGAAGCCATTGGGAGGGCTGCACCGTTGCCTTTCAACTTAGAAACAATTGCAAATGTGCCAGGGGGTGACACACGCCGTTTGTACGATCGCGCCTGCCAATCGGTGAATTCGTTACGACAGTTTACCTGGAAACGAGTATCGTCTCCTGCCGTTCAGGACAGGTCATCGTTTTGGCAGCCCTGGTTTGTATCTGGGTTTGAAGCTTTCGTGACTGCAGGAATCCATGCTCTTTGGTTCTTTCGGTAAGTCGCGTAGGTAAAAATTAAACAAAATAAATCACGACGTTTCGATAGCAACACAAGCCATCGTCTTCAGGTGAAAATCGCAGCAGAAATCGCGGCTATCGTGATTTTCACCTGAAGACGATGGCTTGTGTTGCTATCGAAACATCGTGATTTATTTTGTTTTATTTCTACCTACGTGACTTACCGAAAGAACCAACGAGTATAGCCCTAGTTTGTATTGTCTAAAACAGTGGTCCTTAACCTTTAGTGCAGCCTGCAATCCCTTTGGTTCTCATTCGATATTTTATATGTATAATGCTAATAAACACGTAGGTTTGGTGAGACAAAGTAGTTGTGTTTACGTGCTTGTGCTTAATTTGTGTTTTCAATTATTTACCTTCTAACAAAAAATCTGCCTCGCACCCCCATCTCGTACCCCCAGGGCGTGCGTGCACCCCAGGTTAAGAAGAACCACTGCTCTAAACTAAACTATAAACAAAACTATTTTTTTATTTTACCAGGTAAGGCACCACTGAGCTGTACAGCTCTTTTTCAAAAGCGACCTGGCCACAAATGACAGCTCAGCGAAGTAGCTTATCGCGTGGAAAATGCACAGCAGCCAAACACTCGAAACGCATGTTGTTGATTCTAAATGTGGAGAGAAAAACCCGGAGGACCCGGAGAGAAATCCACGCGACCGCGGGTGAGAGAGACACCGCAAACTCCAAATATATAGCAGCAGGCGTCAAGGTTGGGTTCGAACGCACGACCTCCTGTAGACCAGGCGATGTAGTTAACATCTCCGAGCCATCGTGGCGCCCCGTCGACTAAAACATGGAGACTGCGTGTTAAGTGCTTATGTGCTCAGGCCTGTGCACGTATGTTTGTGTGTGCATGTGTACAGGCCTATGTACCTATTTGTGCGTGTATTGGCCTGTGTACGAATGTTTATGTGTGTTGGCCTATGTACGTATGTTTGCGTGTGTTTGCAGGCTTATCTACGTATTTGTGTGTGTAGGCCTATTTATGTATGTGTGTGTGTTGGCCTATGTGCGCATGTTTGCGTGTGTTTGCAGACCTATGTACGTATATATGTGTGTAGGCCTGTGTACCTACGTATGTTTGTGTCTGTGCAGGCGAATGTACGTATGTTTGTGTATATGTGTGTTGCAGGTCTATATACTATGTTTGTTTGTGTGTAGGCCTATGTAGGTATGTTTGTGTGCGGGCATACGTACGTTTATTAATGAAATTTGAGACTCGGTCACGCTTACTGGAATAGTGCATTATTATAATCATAATTGTACGTATTATGCACCATTGTTGCAGTTCTATGTATCTCCATGTTATGCCTTTGTTCGGCCTGTGTAGCACCGTATGTGCATTGCGGAGCAGTTGCCTTTCGTTCGATTCCAGGCCACGGCCAGTTGATATCAGAACGGGTTTCTGGTTCCCATTCACCAACCCGCACTGGCGAGCGTGGTGAAGTATGGTCAAACGGCCCCCATTATAAGGACACTTGTGTCGGTGTGGTTTTCATCCAGGGGTTGACCAGCTAGCCGTCAATTATTATTATCACCATAATGATTCAGTCTTACAGCATTATTATGCATTACGAAATACGTGTATGCATGTGTGCACGTGGACAGTACCTGGTGCAGCGTGTAAACATTGCCACTAGGGAGACAAAGGCGGCTAACCGTGGCGCTGGCCACACAACCTCCTCTTGTGCCGCCTTGGCCTCTGTCTGGGGAATCTTTGTAGGCGCTCGCTCACAGCACTTGTCCCAAACGTCTGTGAAGGCTATACGGGGGATCGTTGTGTCTGTGTGTGTAAATATGGTCAGCACCTTCGTCGTGATAACGACGGCTTGTTAATCTCACGACGGATCTTCTTCCTGTCTCCTCCCTCGCACTGTGTCCTCCGCTCAGAGGAAACACCCAGAGCTCCCATCATCAGCATCATCAACAACAACAGCAGCAGCACCAACAACAACAGCAACGGCAACTGGATGACGGCCAAGAGCGGACGCAAGAAGCGCTGCCCCTACACCAAGTACCAGACTCTGGAGCTGGAGAAGGAGTTCCTCTTCAACATGTACCTGACGCGCGAGCGGCGTCTCGAGATCAGCCGCGGGGTCAACCTCACCGACCGACAGGTCAAGATCTGGTTCCAGAACCGGCGGATGAAGCTCAAGAAGTTGAGCCGAGAGAGTCGCATCCGTGAGCTGTCATCCGGATTCAGCTTTTCCTAGTCGCCGGTGTTAATGAGTGTGGTGATAACACTTATGATGATGATGATGATAATTATTATGATGTTGATGTTGTTGTTGCGATCGGTGATGTGTTTGTATTGTGTCGGAGACAGCTGCGTGAAGAGAAGTCTGGTAGAGTTCCGATTTTTGTTTGAACAATATAAAAACACACGGTAAATAGATTATTTCAGTCCACGATGATAAAATCCAAACACAAGCTCGAGGACAATTTTATTTTTTATGTTATTATTTTCATTTCCCCTCTTCAAAGGAACGCATATTGCTGATGTCATTGTTTTATTGCAGTATTCCGAGGAGCGACTGTGTGATGATGGTGGTGGCGACGGTGATTGGCGGATGACGCCACGTGTGGTTCATGATCACGTGCACACGAAGACTCTGTGATGTTGCGTTGGCTCTTGGGGGGGGGGGGGGGGGAACAACCTCAACAACACGAAGTGTCAATGCAAACACGAGGCAGAAGAGACCTCGCTGTATATTTATACTTATAGACGTGTGCCGCTACGTAACGTTTAATGTAACGGTCGGAGCCTATTTGTAAATGTCGTTATCTCGCGTTGATCTTGTTTTATTAATATAATTCTATGTGCATGACGTAATCTCCCTTTAATGATGTGTGCCTGAATGGCTGGTGACATATATACACGTTTTACCTGTGTGTGTGTAAAAATGTGTGTGTGTGCAAACATCAGCACTGGGGAGACAAATGCGGCCGGGCATGGTGCTGGCCATCCACCCCTTCGCGTGCCGTGCCGGCCTTCATAGGTGCTCGCTTAACTGTACTTGCCCCAACAGTCTGTTAAAGGCTATACTGGTGGATCTTTATCTTTGCTTGTGCACTGCGCTCTGAGCCAGGACAACCACGGTTCGATTCCCGCTCGCTGCCAAATACCCGAACCGACCGTGGGCATCCCCTAGGGTGTCTCAGTCTCAAACGAATACCCTGGCAGGGAGTGTAAATATCACCAACATGGCGGCCGACCAGGTGTGATCAGAACCACATAACCTCGTGCCGGCCTGCAAAGGTGCTCGCTAACGACAACACCACAGCAGTCTGTGTCTGCTGTATGTGTAGCCATACCTATATATGTGGGTGTAAACACACGGATATATTATATTATATAGATTAGAAGAACAACAGACATTGTTTGCTGACGTCACTAACATCGCTTGTGAGTTCGGCCACGTGATGTCTGGCATGCTCACCGACAGGATACCACGGGACTCATCCAGGTGTGATAGGTTTGACCTGACTGAGATGTTGATGCCACACCCGCACGCATGAACACAGACATGTGAACACGTCTGCACACACACACCCATGCATACATACACACACATGCAGTGTACTCTGCACGCATACGTGTACACACAAAGACACGACAGGTGTCGGCACACACTTATTCACGCGGTTATGTAAATATTAGACGTTTGAACAACAAATGCATAAAGTGTACAGCGACGACAGTGGCGTAAAAGCACAAATTAAGCGTTTAACAGTTGTGATTTTGTTTGGTGGGGGGGTTTAGTGTAGCCCTTGTATCGTGCGAACACCCTAACGTACATACATACAAATGTTAATGTATATATTGGCGCAATCAGGGCCGTCTAGAGCGGGGGGGGGGGGGGGGTGCGGGGCCCGGGACAAATCCCACACCGTGCCCCCCCGCCCCCTCCAACGCCTTAAAAGTAAACCGGAAGTGTAACATCTAACACTGTGACGTCCAAACGCGCACCCCCCCCCCCCCCCCCAAAGCTCGGGGCTCAGGGCGGTCACCACGATTTGCCCATACGCTAGGGACGGCTCTGGGTACAATATAGCCCCGCACTGGGTTCATATTGTGTGTGTATTGAGATGAATATGCATGTGCGTATACCGTACTAGTATACACCAGTGGCAGCCTAGCGTGGTTTGCATGGACCCCCCTCCCACTCTACTTCCCTGCCCCCCCCACCCTACCCGGACCCTTGTCCAATTCTTCCACCTCCTCACAGCCTCGGCGCCAGCAAGGAGTGGAGTTCCTTCCGGGGCCGTGTGCCCACGTGCGCAGTTGAACCGCCCTACACAACTCGCTAGCTACTCCACAAGCATTTCCGCCACCACCGAGAACAACAAAGCACACACGCGCGCGCGCAAACATCTGTTGATTCAATTGTAACTGCCGAAAGCATCCCTTGCCGACGAGGACTCGCGTATTGTACAGATTTGGGGGGGGGCGTAATTTTCACGAGTTAAACGCATTCGCCAAAAACGAAGGACAAGCAAACGAATCGCGTGCGTGCGAGCGTTTGAACGAGTGTCAGTGAAGGGTGTCGCACTACGAGTGTCCACAGTCTTGATGGTTATTTGCCCGAGAGGTGGAGTTTGGTGGGTCCTTCCGTGAGAGGCGAGCGGGAGCTGTCTGTAAAGCCAGCGAGAAAGTGGGGGTGGAAGGGGGGGGGTCCGGCATGGTGAGGGGTGCCAACAAACTTGCTTCTGCCATTGGCGACAAATTGCCTGCGAGGCTGATGCAACGACTGACTGTTGAGCCTGGATTTAGTGCACGCATACTGTAGGCTGCGAGACACTCTTCGTGACTCGGATGTTACGACATGTTAACAACATGCTTGGGACACGTCCGTCGCCTTCGTTGGCCCCTCGGTTGGATCTTTATTTTCTGATACATTTTGCTGCGCAGAGTTCACAGCAACAAGTCTTCTAAGTTGTGCGAATGCAGCTTCAGTAATGGGGAGGGGGGGGGGTGTAAATAACTTTGAAATTAAACATTTACCTTTTACCTTCGCTCATACACAAAAAACAGCTCTTTTTCGGCCCAACGATGTAGGCTGTGTGTTGTGTCAGCGAGTGAAGCGTATCGTTGTTTTTGTTTGTTTTAGGACTGAGGTTAGCCTAGGTTCGTAAAGAGGCCTAAGCAGGGCAAAAAGGAATTGCTTCTGTCCTCGTGCGAACAGCAATGACGTCATGGGCCATTGTGACGCTGCGGTGCAGATTGCTGCCCCCTAGAGGCACCTGCAGCCGTTGTTGGTAGCTCGACACGTGGCGCGAGCCCCGGGACAACGAAGGCTTTTTAAACACACGTAGGCCCTCTTGTCCCACACCCAACTTCAATATTTTCGAAGGAAGCTAAATGTTTGCCCAGGCTTAGTGATATTATGAGCACATAGAATTACCCTCACTTCTGTTTACACTACATTATAGGTACCCGTGTGCATTGTCTGCATGCATTTGATATCGGATATATCATAATCTAATACGGAATATTCGCTTAAAAAAACCAAAATGTGTTTATATATATTCGTGTGTGTGCGCGCGCGGGATGTTATAATACATGTCAAACGCTGTGCTTATCGATTTAGATACGTGTTGGTATACGCGAATGAATGTAATAAAATGCAGTTTAATATAACGGTAATTACAATAAGAATTGCATTTATACGTGAGTGTTTTATATGCGCATGCTGCGCGCACACAGGCCAATTGCTGCTTTTGCGTAACAGAGCTCAATGCAAGTCATGGTGAAGTACAAAATTATATATATAAACAAAAGCATAAACACAATAACACACAAACAAAGCCATCTTTTCGATGCATGACAATTGTATATGTGTACATGAAAAAACAAAACAAGTTCCATTTTGTTGTTGTTGCCACCAGATATTTAAGATCTGAAAGAAAAAAAAATACACGCATCCGGACAAGCGTTTTTGCAAATGCATATTCCTTCCACGCAGTTGTTCAAGTCGAGAGGACTTTATTTCGGCTGTCACGTTCTGCTGTCTATGCATTATCGACACACGCGTAACGCACTCCAGGCAAGATGCAACTATCGCCAGCGTGTCTCTTGGCCGCACATGGACACTTCTGTACTGTGATGAAATAAAACAAAATTGTTGTAAACCGCCTGGTCTCATCGGCTACGGTTGCCCCCTCTGCGTCACGGTTGTGGTCAACTTCGATCCTAACATTGTAACTTCGCTTGAGCTCATTAATTCCTTGATCCAGCAGCCCCCCAAGTGCGATCCTCTTCTTGAACCTGGTCAAGGTTCAATAGCTTTTAAATTAAATGTTTTATTCCTGATGTCGTGGCAAGAGCGGAGTTTTTTTGATAGGCCGATATGATTGTCTTTGGTTTACTCAACATACGCGATGCAAACACAGCGCGTTGTGCACCGAATCTACGGCTGCCGTTCAGTCTGCCACTCAAGTTGCTCTATTCGAACTCCTGGTGAGAGACCATTTAAGACGACAGCAACGTTTTTTGTGTATCATTATTATTTTGCCCTGGAGAACTGGGGCAATAACGAAAAGCTTAAATAACATGCAATCGCAATATAAAAAAATATGCAAAAACATTTTACGATTTAAATAATGGTAACAAATCGAGTTCATTACATTGCTGGAGTTAGGTGTTGTGATGAGTTAAGTGTTGCGATAAACTATATACGGAGACAAATTGCGGAATATAGTTGTCTCGTGTACGTACCAGTGAGTCTCATATACTGCAGAGACGAGGACTTATAAACAATTTAAACTGCGTATGTAGTTGCACCTTTGTTAGTGACTGCGTGAAGGTCTCATGTAAGGCTGGCAATGTTATTGGACGTCTGTGAAAAGGAGCTTAACAGCTCATCGGATTCCTCCAGTATAAAACAAAAATCTTCATATTCTTACTCTAAAAACATGTGTGGATATTTGTGCGCGTTAGTATAGAGCTGGGACATCCGATTATTTAAGTAGTTGATAACTATAGCGATTATTGGTTATATTAATTTTGAGTAATTGGATAACACGCAAATAATGACATTTTTAAACGATCTGCCTCCCACGTGTTCTACTGGACGGAAGGTGATGGGCGCGGCTTAATGATGTCATTCGCCCTATCGGTCGCGTCACACTGGGCATGGCTCGTTCTCGGGGGGTTTCCCGCCTTCTGGAGGCAAGATGCGGAGGCAACCGCTACTTCTAAAGCGACTCGAGCAATCGATCCCAAAAGAGAGTAATCGAATAAACATTTTCATGGATTCATCGACTTCATCAAACTAATCGTCCCGGCTCAAAGTTCACATTTTTAACGATCCGTGTGCTTGCCGTGTCTTCCCTCGCGGCAGTTTGGCACAGATGTACAACTCGGATTATATCGATCATATAGCAACATATGCGGTGGCACAGATTATGAGCTGGTTAGTGTGGTACTGACGTTCAGACTGGGATTCATTTCAGGTGTTTGAATACCCTGGGTGCATATGTAATTACGTCTGTTTATGTTAAGCATCAATTGTGGGGAGCGGTGGCGGAGTGATTAGAGCACTGCGACCAGAGTTCGATTCCTGGCCACGGATAACACGTGGTGTATATCTGAATCGGTGCGAGGCCTCCCTTAAGGCCTACTCAGCCTCAAATGGTTGCCTGGTGCGGTGGGTAAACATTTTAACTGGGGGCACAGAAATACTGGAAGAGGGCTGGCGCAGTGACAAGGGCACTGCGACAACCAACCCAACAACCCAAGTTCGATTCCCGACCACGGATGACGTCAGTGGCGAGTGGTATCAGCATTAGACGAGTACCTGCTGTGGTTCATATTCTTAGGTTTTTTTTTAATGAATCCTTGCAGTCACGAAAGCTTCAAATCTAGAACCTGCTGTGGTGTTTAAACATTATGACTGGAGAGACAAAGGCGGCCGAACACGATGTTTACCCACACCACCTGGTGCGCCATCCCGCCCATAATAGGCACTCACGAACAGCACTTGCCCCAAGAGTCTATGTAGGCTTTACGCTTGATATCTGTCTGTGTTCATGTTTGATGTGTTCATGTATGTTTATTGTGTGTAATTATATGGCTATGTATGTGCGTCTTTGTGGGGACCGGTCGTGTAGTAGTTCGCGCGCTGCGGCACGAACCCAGCGACTCGAGTTCGATTCCCGCTCACGGTCACCAACACCAGTGACAAATATCTGAACAGGTCCTGGGCCGGCCCTAGGTCGACTCAGCCGCTAACGAATACCTGGTGCGGTGTGTAAACATCGCCACTGGGGAGACAAAGGCAGCCGGGCGTGGTGCTGGTCACCCACCCTCTCGTGTGCCGTTCCGGCCTTCGTAGGTGCTCGCGAACAGCACTTGCCCCAGCAGTTTGTTAAGGCTATACGGGGTATCTTTGTATTTCTGTTGTGTGCGTAACGTGTTGATATATACATGAAGTTCAGAATAAACCTCACCTTTTGCTAGTTATGTTCCAGACGTAAAATTATACAATTACGATAAACCCAATACTCGACGATCAACACATTCCCCGAGGAGGATAAGTACCTAACTTTTAAATTGTATTAAACAAAATTCGCAACTAATTGTATGCTAGGTAGACTCACAAGAGTGATGGGTGTTGATTGATATGGACGCCAAGGTTAATTGATGCACTTGATGCACTTTCCAGCTTAACTTTGCGTTAGTCGTGCCAACGCGTTCTCGATGTGTTCATAACGTAATGTTAGTTCGGCAGGACAGACGTAATGATTCTGAACGATGTATACCTGCTGTATTTTAATGGACAAATGGAACCCGCCATGGCATGCGTGTGTTTTTATATTCATATATATACTATAGGGAGTGTAAAGACAATTTAACAAGTTTTATTTATAATGTTTTAATTTTCGTAGAATGTATTTTTCATGTTTATTTTGGTTCAACCTGTAACTGTAGATGGAGTCATACAGTATATCGTACTTTTAGATATATTTATATATATATTGCCGTACACGAGGCCTTCAGTTTAAAATCTATGCATTATTGATGAGTTTTCCATTTATGTGGGTCACTAAACGCCACGCATGCGCACATCAACACGGACATACACACACACACATACAGAGATACGCATACACACATACATACACACAAAGACAAAGATCCCCCAGTATTAACAGACTGTTGGGGCAAGTGCTGTTAGCGAGCTACCTATGAAGGCCGACACGGCGCATGAGTGGGTGGGTGGGCCACACTACGCCCGACCGCCTTTGTCTCCCTAGTGGCGATGTTTACTATACACAGCGCCAGGTACTCATTTGAGAATGAGTCGACCTAGGAGAGGCCCAGGACATGTTCAAATAATCGTCACCGGCGTTGGCCGTGAACGGGAATCCAACTCGGGTAGCCGTGTTCATACCGCAGCGCACTAACCGCTACACTACCGCTCCCCACACACACATACACACTAATCACAAAGACATACGTACATACACACCACCAATATGGCAAAATACGCGAAAATACACACACATTGATTCACATACAACAGCAAGTAGCACCTATGAATGCCGGCACAACACACGTGGGAGCGCGTGACCAGCACCACGCCTGACCGCCTTTGTCTTCCTGACTCGACCTAGGGGAGGCTCAAATGCGTGAGCGGGAATCGAACTTGGGTTGCTGAGTTCGTAGCGGTGAAGACGCTGCGCCACCGCTCCCCACCAGTGCACACTCGTAACACATCAAGATATATATACACACACAAGCATACACTAACTAACAAAGACAACGATTCCCCGATTGCCTGAACAGATTGTAGGAGCAAGTGTTGTTAGCGAGCACCTATGAAGGCTGGCACGGCACACGAGTGGGTGGATGGCCAGCACCACGCCCGGTCGCCTTTGTCTCCCCAATGTAGATATTTACACACCGCGCCAGGACCTCGTGTGAGGCTGAGTCGACCTAGGGGAGGCACAGTACATACAAACACACAAAAACACCAACAGAGATAGCAGCAATAACACGCACACACACACATACAAAGAGAGGCGCCACAAACGCCAACTTACACACACAATCACACAGACACTAACACAATAATACTTACATATATACACACGCACATCAGCATTCAGAAACACACGAATGCACGACAACACAAAGTTCCCCCGCATAGCCATGACATAGTCTTGGGGCAAGTGCTGTCAGAGAGAACCTATTAAAGCTGGCATGGAACCCGAGGGTGTGGGTGACCCGGACCACGCCTTTGGCTCCCAAGTGGAAATGTTCGTACACCACACCAGATACTAATTTGAGGCTGAGCGGACCTAGGGGAAGATCCCACGACCGGTTCAGAGAATCGCCACTGATGTTGGTGGCCGCGAGCGGAAAAACGAACTGGAGCTGCCGGGTTTGTTGCGAATCCGCCACGCGACCGACCCCCACACTAAGAAGAAACACAAACACACAAACACGATTATACACCGAGAGACACACACCCACACACAGCAACCCACAAACACAATCATGTACACGCAGAGAGAGAGAGAGAAAAATACCCACCAACGCACATGAAACATCATTCACGCAGCCAGCAACAGCATCAGCAGCAACACGCACACTTACACCTTTAAATTTCCCTTCTACGTGACTTTACCGAAAGAACCAAGAAGAAAAAACACTTACACCTTGTGAATAAGGCACAGCGCGTGTCGTCAGCAGGGGCTATGCACGCGTTCCACAGTGCGCGGTGATCGTACAACCCGAATCCTTCTCTCGCCTTTAATCCGTCCCCCCACCACCACCTCCACCCCCCCCCCCACGCGTGGCCTCATGTGCCAAGATCGTGCCAGCCGAGCAAACGTGCACACTCATGCAGATATCGCTCCCCCTCTGACTTTTATTGCGTGATTTCTTTTTTTCATTTTATACCGTTGACCACATTTCATAGCAAGCTGTAACGAGCCTCTTAATTGTTTTGATTTATATATCTGTAACGTCTCTGTTACTGTGGCGCGCTGTACGGCCAGTGAGTTTGACGCGTCCCGGAGTGTGTGTGTGTACGTGTTCTGTACGTCATTGTGTAAGCGCGTATGTGTGTTTACACATGCACAGT